GCTTAACCGACTGAGCCACCCAGGCGCCCCTAAATAAAATCTTTAAAAAAAAAAAAAATGACCAAGTAAATTTGAAGAAGAACCAAATAGAATTTTTAGACATGGCTGATTAGACATAGCTGAAGAGGGCGTTAATAAACTGAAACAAGAATGTAAAGAAATTACCCAAATTACAGTATAGAGATGAGGAGCTGGAAGAAATGACTGATTTTAAGAGATACAGAGGACATAATGAGAAAGTCTAATATGCATCTAATCAGAATCCTAGAAGAGAGAATAAAAATAAAAAGAGAGTATTCAAAAAGATAAGGCTCCAATATCCCTTCCTGATAAAAATACTCAATGAACTAGGTACAGAAGAGAACTTTTTCACCCCGATAAAAGAAAGGTTCTAAGAAGGAACTTCATTTTTTTAAAGTTTTTTATTTATTTAAGTAATCTCTACACCCCGTGTGGGGCTCAAACTCACAACCCTGAGATCAAGAGTTGCATGCTCTTCTGAGCCAGCCAGGTGCCCCCTAATAATGAACTTCAAAGCGTGTTGCTCAGAGCGTGTTCCCTGGACTAGCCACACAGGCATCATCTAGGAGCTTATCAGAAAAGCAGAATCTCAGGCTCCGCCCCAGGGCTGCTGCGTCAGACTCTGTATTCTAACAGCCTGGTGATTCCTGTGCACGGCAGAGTGAGAAGTGCTGCTCTACGACTCTTCTTTTCTAGGAAAACCCCACAGCTAACATCATACTTAAGAGGGAAAGAATGAATACCTTCCCCCTAAGGTCAGAAACAAGACAAAGATGGCAACTTTCACCTCTTATTTCAACTTTGTACCAGAGGTTCTAGCCAGGAAAATTAGGCAAGAAAAAGATATAAAAGGCATCGGATTGGAAAGGAAGAAGTAAAACTATTTGTATTTGTAGATGACATGATCTTATATGCATAAAGTCCTAAGGAATCCACTAAAAAACTATTAGAATTAATAAATGAGTTCAACAGGGACGCCTGGGTGGCTCAGTCGGTTAAGCGGCTGCCTTCGGCCCAGGTCATGATCCCAGGGTCCTGGGATCGAGTCCCATATCGGGCTCCTTGCTCAGTAGGGAACCTGCTTCTCCCTCTCTCTCCCTCTGCTTGTGCTCTGTCAAATAAATAAAATCTTAAAAAAAAAAAAAAATGAGTTCAACAAAAAATAAATAAATAAATAAATGAGTTTAGCAAGGTGATGGAATACCAAATCATTATACAAAAACCAACTGTATTTCTATACAAATACAATGAACAATCCAAAAATGAAATTTAAAATACAATTCCATTCATAATAGCATCAAAAAGAATAAAATACTTGGGAATAAATTTTTTTTTAAGTACAAAACTTAAACTCTGAGAAGTACAAAACTCCACTGAAAGAAATTGAAGACTTAAGCAAATAGAAAGATAGCCTATGTTAATGGATTTGAAGACTTAATATTGTTAGGATGGCAATATTCCCCAAAGTAATCTATAAATTCAACACAACCCTGGTCCCAGCTGGCTTCTTTGCATAAACTGACAAGCTGGTCTGAAAATTTGTATGGAAATACAAGGAACCCTGAATAGTCAAAACAATCTTGAAAAAAAACAACAAAGATGGAGAATTCATTCTTTGCAATTTCAAAACTAACTACAAATCTACAGTAACCAAGACATTATAGTACTGGCATAAAGACAGACATATACCCCTGCGTCGGGCTCCCTGCTCAGCAAGGAGTCTGTTCTCCCTCTCCCTCTGCCCCTCCCCCCACTCATGCATGCTCTCTCTTTCTCTCAAATAAATAAATAAAATCTTAAAAAAAAAACCAACAGAATAACTACAACAAACCAGAGTTAAACACAAAAGAGAAATGACAAACGGGAAAATATCTGCAGCTCATATCATAAAGAGCCAATCTTCCCAGTATATCAAGACTTCCTACAAATTAATAAGAATAAAGACCAAAAAACGATAGAAAAATAGGCAAAAATACAGCTAGGCAATTTACAGGAAAAGAAATTAAAATGGCACTTAAACATATGAGAAGCTCAACTTCATTTATAATAACAGAAATATAAATTAAACCTCCCCTGAGAGGCCATTTTCTCCTTTCAAATTGGAAAAAAACAAAAAGTAGGATAATATATCTTGTGGTGAAGCTGTGGAGGTACAGATGGGTCCAGCTCTAAGCAGGTGATCTGGCACCATCCATTAAAAGTACACATGTCTGGGGCGCCTGGGTGGCTCAGT